GCAGCGGCCTCCAGGCCGCCCGGACCCCCAAAACCCCGCGTGGCGCTGCCACAGGCCTGGGGGTAGCTGAATTAGAAACTGTTCAACCAAGTGGAGCAAGGCAGGAGCGCCCGCTCTTCCCCTCGTCTCGGGGCCACCGCTTTCGACTACCAGGCTCGCCTCGCCCGGGAAATAGGGGCGATCCGACGCGCCCGAGCTGCGACATGAAGGGAAGCAGGAGGGCGCGGTCTTCCGCGTCGCAGTTGCGTTCGAGGCCCTTCGCGCGCTCGACGTAGTGGTTGAGAAAAGGAAGGCCTTCATCTTGTCGGTCGCCTCGCGCGTCGGAGGCCCGGGTGGTGGGGGGAGCGGGCACAGTGGCAGCGCTGGGGTAGGTGCCCGCATAGCAGTCAAACTCGCAACTGTCCGCGTTGTTCCTGTTGTCGAGGTCCCGCAGGTGCTCGCCACACTGCCACTTATATGCCAGGGCGGTGGTGAGAAGAGCTGCCGCGGCTGCAGCAGCCCCGCTACCAAGTTCGAAGCCGATGCTCCAAGACATGACTGTGTAAACAGTAATGTCGAGGGATGGAGCACGATGGTGATGAAGGAGAAAAGGGCGCACTCTTTTCCGACCACCACCTCAAATACAGTGCAGGCAGCGACGCCTACACTGGCAGATAGGGCGGCGCTGCATTCAGCGGCATCAGGCAAACTGATGTCCACCCCTTGGGACATACCCTCAAAGTCGAAAGGCCTCCAAAGACTCCAAAAATAGCCTCCAAGACGGCCATGGAGCACCCCGAAAGGTTCCCAAATCGGCCCAGAGAGGCCCCCAAGGCGGCTTCCGACGGCGTCTGACGGACTAGGAATGCCTCAAGACGGCCGAAGAGGCCCCCGAGAAGCCCCGAAAGGCCCCCAAGACGTCCAAGGAGGCGCCCCCCAAGAGGCCTCCAAGAGGCTCCCAGGAAGCTCTCACGATGCCCCAAGAGTGCCCCCAGAGGCTCCCAAGGTGTCCCCTTCTCCTGCTCCTCCTCATTCTCATCCTCCTCCTCCTCCTCCTCCTCCTCCTCCTCCTCCTCCTCCTCCTCCTCCTCCTCCTCCTCCTCCTCTTCACGTCCTCATGATGTTCCCCGTCATTCTCCCCTTAAGTGTGCCCTGAAGGCTCCACAGCGGCTGGAGGAACAAATGGTCCCGATAGCTCGGCAGAGCTCTTGCCACAACACTGGGCCACACGGGCGCTGCACAGAGGCAGGGGGCGGCGGTGATTCGCCGCAGGCATCGTCGATCCGCCGCCCCGTTGATGTCTCACTGGGGTGCCTGGCGTGCCAAGCTCCAGAAAGCTGCTGTCGGTTCTCGTGGCACTCACCCCGCGGGGCTTCGGCCCGGCGCGCCGACCACCCAGAGCTGCCTGCCCGTGGCCGGTTGGCAAGGATGCTTCTGCGCCAATGGGGCCCCGGATGGCCCCAGGTGGCCTCCGAGACAGCCAGAGTAGCCTCCACGGTCACCCCCAAGATGGTCCAAAAGGGCCTACTGGACGGCCCAAGAGGGTCCAAGATGCCTCCAAGCTTCGGCCGAGATGCCTCCAAGCTTCGCCCGAGAAGCCTCCAAGATGGCCCAAGAGACCCCTGAGACGGACGGCCTAAGAGGCCTCCAAGACGGCTCCAGAGGCCTCCAAGAGGTCCTCCAGGAGGGCCCGAAGAGACCACAAGTACAGATGTTCGTTATGCAGTTGACAGATTTGGGAACCTGCATCTGTTCGGCCTTCCGACGGCCCAAGACGGTCCAAGAGGCACCAAAGATCGCCCCAAGAGCGCCCAAGAGGCCTCCAAGATGGCCCCAGAACGGCCCAAGAGGCCCCCAAGACGGCCCAGAGGGGGGCCCAAGAAGGTCCAAGAGGCCTCCATGACGCCCAAGGTGGCCGCCAAGACGACCCTGAAGCGCCCCGAGAGGGCCCCAAGATGGTCCACGAGAGGCCCCCAAGACGGCTCACGACAGCGTCAGACATGCCAAGAAACGTCCTAGGACGGCCAAAGAGGCCCCGAACAAGCCCCCAAAGGTCCCCAAGAAGGCGAAGGAGACCCCCAAGAGACCTCCATGAGGCTCCCAGGAAGCTCCCAGGAGACCCCCAGAGTGTCCCAGGAGCCTCTCAAGAGGTCTCCTCCTCCTGCTTCTCCTTCTCCTCCTCCTCCTCCTCCTCCTCTCCTCATCCTCCTCCTCCTCCTCCTCCTCCTCCTCATCCCCTCCTCTACTCATCCTCCTCCTCCTCCTCATCCTCCTCCTCTCCTCTCCTCCTCCTCCTCCTCCTCCTCCTCCTCCCCTTTCCTTCTTCTCCTCTTTCTCCTCTTCCTCACGTGTTCCCCGAAGGGTTTCAACGACGGCTGGGGGAACACATGGTCCCATAGCTTCGCCGAGCTCTAGCCAAACTTTCGGCCACATAGGCGCTTCCAAAAAAGCAGGGGGCGACGGTGATTCGCCGTTGGCGTCTTCGATCCGCCATCCCCTGTGGCTTGCGGCGTGCCGAATGCCCGGTATGTGTTTGGTTCGTTGTAAAGAATTCCCCGTGGTGCTTCTGCCCAGCCCGCTGGCCACCCAGAAAACTCCGGGAAACGCGGGTCCCGGAGGATTTCCGTTTCAAATGGCCTCAAGATGGCCACTCTTGGGCCGTCTTGGTCCGTCGGAAGGCGTTTTGAAGCAAATGCCAAATTCTTTCAAAAACCAACGGGAAATCACATCATTCTCCTTGGCCGTCTGGGTGGCCAACGTGCCCGTCTGGGAGGCCCAAGATTGCCCCAAGAGCGCCCAAGAGGCCTCCAAGATGGCCCCAGAACGGCCCAAGAGGCTCCCCAGACGGCCCAGAGGGGGGCCCAAGAAGGTCCAAGAGGCCTCCATGACGCCCAAGATGGCCTTCAAGACGACCCTGAAGCGTCCCAAGAGGGCCCCAAGACGGCCCAGAGAGGCCCCCAAGACGGCTCATGACAGCGTCAGAAGGGCCAGGAACGCCGTCAGACTGCCAAAGAGGCCCCCAACCCAAGAAGCCCCCAGAGGCCCCACGAGGTCCAAGGAGGTCCCCAAGAGGCCTCCAAGAGGCCCCGAGAAAGCTCCCAAGAGGCCACAATGATGACCCAAGAAGATCCCCAAAGGTCTCCTCATCCTTCTCATCCTCCTTTCGCCTACCCCTCGCCTCATCCTCCTCTTCCACCCCCACGTGTTCTCCGAAGGGCTTCCACAACGGCTGAGGGAACGCATGCTCACGCTTTGCCCAAACGTTTGGCCACATAAGCACATCCTGAAAGGCAGGGGGCGGCGGTGATTCTCCGCAAGCGTCCTCGATACGTGTACCCGAGCGCCAGTCGGAAGAAGTACGTGGAAACCTGGAGCGGGAAGGCGGATGCAGCAGATTCGGTTTGGGCCCGACCAACATACATGATAACGACGACAGCCAGCACGCACCAGGTCTTGAAGTAGCAAGGCGCTTGCAGTAGAGCGTGAGTCGGGAATAAAAAAAACGTGCTTTCACCGACGGGCGCGTGTGCACACGAACGAAGACAGCGGCGAGGGCCTCGGAGCCAAAAAAGGGGGCCGCGGCGCTCCCGTCCTTGGGCTGCAGCGTCAGCGCGCGGGCCGAGCCCTCCAGCTGCTCGATCAGGGCACCGTAGTCCGAGGGCGGCAGCGCCACCCCGGGGAAGAGGTCCTTTGACGGGGGACGGTATGTTCGGCATGGCATGGCTGAGGCGAAGGAGGAGAAGGAGGAGAAGGAGGAGTCCGCCTCCTTTCCCTTGGCCAAACCATGAGGGCGCTCCGCCTGCGGCGTCGGCTTCCTAATCCCTCCCCTCCTCCTCCTCCTCCTCCCCCTCCTCCTCCTCCGCCTCCTCCTCCTCCTCCTCCTCCTCCGCCTCCTCCTCCTCCTCCTCCTCCTCCTCCTCCTCCTGCCGCTGCTGCTCACGGCTGATTTGGGGTTATCCTGAAGTCGTTTCATCCTCCTCCTCCTCCTCCTCCTCCTTCTCCTCCTCCCCTCTCTCCGCCTCCTCCTCATCCTCCTTATCCTCCTTCGTATCATCATCATATCATCAGCATCATCATCATCATATAATCATTATCATCATCATCATCATCATCATCATCATCATCATCATCATCATCAGCATCAGCATCAGCATCAGCATCATCATCATCATCATCCCATCATCAGCAGCAGCATATCATCATCACACATCATCATCATCAGCACATAATCATCAGCAGCAGCAGCATCCTCATCATCATAATCAGCATCATCAACATCATCGTCAACAACATCCTCATCATCCTCATCATCGTCATTGTCGTCATCATCATCATCATCATCATCATCATCAGCATCATCAGCATCATCATCATCATCATCATCAGCTCATCATCATCATCATCATCTGCATCTGCATCATCATCATTCATCATTTCATCATCATCATCATCATCATATCATCACCATTCATTCATCATCATCATCATCATCATCATCATCATCATCATCATAATCATCATCCTCATCCTCATCCTCATCATCATCAGCAGCAGCAGCATCAGCAGCAGCATCATCATCGTCGTCGTCATCCTCCTCATCAGCAGCAGCACCACCATCATCATAATCATCAGCAACAGCAGCATCAGCATCAGCATCAGCACCATTCATCATCAGCAGCATCATATGATCGTCGTCATCATCATCAGCAGCAGCAGCATATTCCTCCTCATAATCATCATCAGCATCATCATCAACATCATCATCATCATCATCACCATCATCATCATCATCATCATCATCATCATCCGCATCATCATCAGCATCATCATCATCGTCATCATCAATCACCATCATCATCAGCATCACCACCAGCAGCATAATCATCCTTATCATCATCAGCATCATCATCATCATCATCATCATCATCAGCATCATCATCATCCTCATCATCATCTCATCATCAGCATCATCATCTCATCATCATCATCATCATCATCATCATCATCATCATCATCATCATCATCATCATCATCATCATCATCATCATCATCATCATCATCATCATCATCATCATCATCATCATCCGTCTCCTTCTCCTTCTCCTTCTCCTTTTCCTCCTCCTTCTCCTTCTCTTTCTCCTGCTGCTGCCAGGCTGTTTAGTCCAGCTCGCAGAGGTGCCAGCAATGCAATTTTGGCTGACAGCGGGGAGTCTTCCGAAGCGAATGTTGGCAGGAATCACAGGTGTCCTCACCTACCAGCCTACGCGCCCTTCAGGAGGGCTGGCCATCTTGCACCGAAATCTCGCGATTCTGAATTGTCGGCTGTTTTCGTCGGTTCCCGGCGGCGTTCCTATCTCGGGATGCCTTCCATGCGAGGCGGGGATTTATCCATATCCACCGCCTGGGAACCGACGTCCTGGTGCCCCAGCGGGCGGTGGATATGGACATATGTCGGCCCCCGGGGGCCCGAATATGTCCATATCCACCGCCTGCCGAGGCTCCGAAAACTGACCCCCCAGGCCCGGGGGCCCGAATATGTCCATATCCACCGCCTGCCGAGGCTCCGAAAACTGACCCTCCAGGCGGTGGGTGTGGACAAACCCCCGCCTCGGAGTCCGGCCACTGCACCTCGCCGAGAGAGCCGGGTCCAGGGGCTCCCGGACCCTACCGAGAGGCCGCCGGAGGCCCAGGTCGCGACCCGAGAACCACGGGGGACACTTTTGTTGATTCGCAGCTCGAGAGCGCACGCACCTCGTCCGGTCGAAGCTCAGCGGGCCGCGCGAAGCTCGAATTCACAAAGCGAGGGGGGGACGGAGGGAGAGGCCTCACGCCAGGGCCAGGAGGAGGCAGAGCCTCGGGATCGGGCGGTGCCGAAGACGATGTGCTCGCAGAGGAACGCCTTGGACAGGAGCCCGGTGGCGAAGCACCGGGAAAACCACGGGGTGCTGGGCAAATTTTCCACCACCACTACCATATGTAGGACGGGGGAGGAGAAGGGAAGATGGAGAGGTCCTCCTCCTTCTCCTCCTCCTCCTCCTCCTCCTCCTCCTCCTCCTCCTCCTCCTCCTCCTCCTCCTCCTCCTCCCTCTCCTACCTATGGTAGTGGTGGTGGAAAATTGGCCCATCAACGGGGGGCACGTCGCCGGCGGATCGGCGGCGGGCCCCCGCGCGGCGAGGCCGCACGCTCCTGGGCGGGGTGGGCCTGTCGGGCCCCCTTGTGGGCGATCGACGGCAGGCGCACGGGCAGCACGGCCGTGGGCGGCACAATGGAGCGGCGGGGCAGGCCGGCGAGCCAGGGCGTAGCAGGTACAGGATGATGTGTTCCTCCTCCTCCTCCTCCTCCTCCTCCTCCTCCTTCGTCCTCCTCTTCCTCCTCCTGGTCTTCCTCTCCTCCTCTCTCCTCCTCCTCCTCCTCCTCCTCCTCCTCCTGCTCTCACTCCTCCTCCCCCTCCTCCTCCTCCTCCTCCTCCTCCTCTCCTCTCCTCCTCTCCTCCTCCTCCTCCTCCTCCTCCTCCTCCTCCTCCTCCTCCATCTTCCTCCTCATCCTCCTCCTCCTCCTCCATCATCCTCCTCCTCCTCGTCTTCAGGGCCAGCGGGCGGTGCGTGCTGGCACTGGGCTGAAGCTGCGCCCCCCCCTGTGTGTTGCCCCCCTGGCCTTTCGGGTCCTGGCTCGGCCCTGCGACGGCCGCGTGCGGGACGACCCGCGAAGCCCCTGGGACGCCCTCGGCGAGGCGCAGCTGCCGGTCGAGTAGGGTATCGACCACAGAATTCATTCACCCCAAACTCGATTCGGGGGGGCGTAAGAACCGGGTACGGGGTACTCGGAACTCCCCGACGAGGTCGTCAAAAAAATGACGAGGCCGAGCCTGCATTTTGACGAGGCCTCCCGCTGCAGACATCCCACGAAACTCCTCCTCGTCAAAATCCGAGTCGCGGTCGTCAAAAAACGATGGCGAACCCGAGTCCCGGCAAACCCGGGTCTTACGCTCCCCCGATCGATGTGTTCGTCGAGCATACGAGGCATGCGCGGAATGCTCCGCAGGGCGTTCTACACACTCGTTCGCAGATCGACGGGAAATCAATCTTGGGGTGAAACAATTGTCGTCGATTCCCTACTCGAGCTGGAGAGCACCCCGAGACCGGAAAACGGGCGGCAGCCCACGAGGAGGCGCCCGAAGCCCCTGGCCCCGAACGTCGAGCCTGCTGCCCCCCTCCACCCTGAGCTCGGGGGCGGCCAAGAGGGGGGCGTCCAAAACGGGGGGGTGCAAATCATGCCCGGCGGCATGTGCGCGGCCCAGCGGGGGGGGCCAGGGACGTAATGAAATAAGAAGAGGCGCCATGAGATCTGGGGAAATATCATGGCCCCCGCCATGATATACACCCCCCCCTAGTCATCACCCCCCTCTTTGCCGGCCCCGAACCCTGAGCCTGTCCCCCTCCGAGCGTTGACCCATGAGGTCCCCCGTGATGCCCTTGAAGAGCGGAATGTCGTTCGCGGTGAACTTGGGCAGGTTCACGTCGCTGAGCGCGGAGAGGGCCAGCACTTCCTCGGGGAGCTGCCGAAAGGGCCACATCCGGACACCCGGGTCGGTCAGGCTCTGCGGGATCCTGCAGGATCCTGCACCGGGAGGCACAGAGACATACTGGTACTACATGTCCTCCTTGGAGGCGCGCGTCCGACCCGAACATGTAGTATACCCATCCTGTAGTATATCTTTTCTATCTTTTCCCAGGCGGTGTGGCCAGAAAGCGCCCGCCACGACGCTGATACTGCAGGACTTCTCGGTGCGCGCGTCGCCGCTGGGGGGGGGGGGGGGCGACGCACACATCATGTTAGTATGTTGGGGTGACGCCGATGCACCCAAGCCCGGGCTCGCCATCGCTCGGACGTCCATTCCCTGCGTTTTTTTCGGTTTCGTGCGTGGTTTTTTCGCCAAATGATCAAGGATGCTCCTCGATGGTCCTCACCGAGGGAAAAATGCACACGTCCGAGCGATGCCAAGCGGGCCAGTGCGCCCCTGGCTCTGCAGGATCCTGCAAGCTCCAGCGCTCCGACGGGCCCCCGCCTGCGGACACGCCCCGTCCCCCGAGGCGTCCCCGGCGTCCTCGCTGCGGGTGCTGCCGTACAGCCGGCGCAGCGCCCCTGCGCGGACCAGGATGGACTTGAGGGCCCGCATGCCGAAGTCGTAGTGGTCCTGCGAGGAGAGCTGCTCGGACCCGAGCCTGTGAGGAGGAAGAAGGGAAAGGGCATTGAAGGGGCCCCACCCAGGACACACAGATAGATACACACGAATAAAAAGATTCCCCATGGTTTCCCATACTTCTGGGTTTCTTGGCTTCCCCCCCACTTCCCATATTTTCCCATATCTCCGGGGAATCGACGATTCATTGTGTCTGTGTTTCTATCCCTCCTGAGGCATGACAGGGACAGCAGACGAGCGCGTTCCACTACTCACAGAGTGCCTGCTCGCAGGTGGCCCGGATCCGCCGCGGGAGATCTACGGCCCACTACATCTCGGCACACATGTGTGTGTGTGTGTTCGGACGCTTGAGAGTAAATACTCTGCGAGTGGTGGGACGCGATCGGCGAGACAGGGACAGGGCCTGCGTCGTGCACCGCGCGGGTGCTGCAGGGTGGGGCCAGAGCGCCCAGAGCGCCCAGAGAGTCGGAGAAGGCGCAGCCACAAAGCCGCGCCCGCCCAGACGTTCACTCCAGGAAGAAGCTGCTTGCATTGATCCGTCGCTTGCGGAAACGCCTCGGGCACGTCGCACACACGTGACAATCTGTACAACAAGAGCACCAGCTGTCAGCTTTCACGGGGGCGCGCGGACGTCTTGGCTCTGCGCCAGACCCCCCTCCGAGCGCGCAGGGGAGGGGGTCCAGCGCAGGTCCAAGATGACCGCGCGGACCGCCAAAGGTTAATGTTCGTGTCGTTTGCCCTCTCTTCGAGAGCCGGAGGCTGCCGACGGCCTTCCGCGCCAGGTTCTTCGCGTCCTCGAAGCCGAAGGAGTACAGGACAATCTCGCCGATGAGGGCGTAGTCGGGCACCATCATCGCGCACGGGCGGAACAGGGCCTTCAGGTTGTCCGGGAGCTCGGAGCGGCCCGCGTAGCCCGGGTTCATCGTGATGTTCACGGCGCAGGTGGGCACGAGCTGGATCTCCGTGCCCTCGAAGATGAACACCTTCTTCTTGTCCCGGATGGCGAATTGGATCGTCTGCACCTGCTGCGAGACCACGGACAGCACCTCGAGGTTGATGCGGTTGAACTCGTCGAAGCAGCACCAAGCACCAGACGACGCGAGGCCCTTAAAGAACTTGGCCATTGCGATGTAGTCCAGGCCGTCAGAGCAGTTGAACACGACACACTGCACTGCCACCGCCTTCGCCAGGTCCTTTGTGGACTCTGTCTTGCCGGTCCCAGCTGGTCCCTCGGGACCGCCACCGTAGTAAAGGTGGAAGGCCCCCATCAGCGTGCGATAGCAGCGGTCTGTCAGCGGCGTGATGACAAGGCGGTCGCTATTCCCGAGATATTCGAACCCGTAATACAAGGTTGCGTTGATGATGCTCACCTCGCACTTATCGACCTCAGTCTTCTTGCCAGTCCCCCTATCGATGATGGAACCCTGGGTTCTCCAGTAATAGCGCAGCTGTTGGATCCAGTCGAACTCCTTTGAAGAATGTACCTTTGCAGCGGCAAGACCCATGACCACGTCACGGTTGTGCACGTCAATGGTGACGACGGCGGACAACGTCTGCCTGGCCAATTTGGTGAGATCGGCACGCACCAAGTTTACTAGACCGTTTAGCTGCGAGACGCTCACCTTCACATAGTCATCCATTGAACCACCGTCGATGGCTTCGGTGACCTCCTGCGTCCAGTAAATGTTGTCCACGCAGAGCGCCACCTGCCCCGGCCACTCCAGGATCCACTTGGTACGCTCTGTGGTGGCGTAGGCCTTGATGGAGCTGTCCGTGACCTGCGTCAAGCAGTCAATCATGGAGGTCTGCACCTCCAGCAGCCACTTCTCGACGTTCCCCTTCTTGTCTCCCTCATTCACGTTGACAGGCTTAGCGAGCTCCACCACTTCCCCCTCCACCGACAGCATCGCCTGAATCACCGTCTTGCTCGAATCGAACCGTATACTGTTGATCCCCTCGAAACATTTGCTCATGTGCGGCTGCACTGCCGTTGGGTCCTATGGTTGCGTGATGACCGACCCACTAACCCATAAAGCAAGACTGCCCATTTTAAAAACATAATGAAAACTCTCTGTCGCTACATTGTTAAGTATGAACCACGTCCCCATCGCAGAACAAAGAAGGGCTGGGAAGGGGTATGCCAGGCACCCGTTGGCAAAAAACTTGCCCCGATGTGTGACAGCCGCGATCGCCGCGGCGACCTCCAAAACCGACCCAGAGATTTGGGTCGGGGTCGGATATCACGCAACGATCCTTGGTCTGGGAGAGGATCATGAGCAGCTCATCGTTGGACAAGAAGAAGAACCGAGGAAACGCAAGCCTCTTCGTTTCGAGGTAGTCGTTCAGACCCTTTTGGATCAACTCCAGCTCCTGGTTCGCCTTGGAAGAACAAACGGCATGAGCATCAACTTTCGGAGCTCCGCGCGGAGGTATTGGATCGGCCCCAGAGGCGACGCCAGGGGGGCCCAGGCGCTGATCCGAGAAATCCGCGCGGAGCTCCGAAAGCTTACGCGCGTGCCGTGTTTCTTGTTCGAGCCTTGGTGAAGCCAGGCAGCAGCCCCTCAATGTCGGAGATGTCGAGCATGTTGGGGTTCTCCACGGCCAGCTTCATGGTGGTCCTCCATAGCGTGTTCGCCCCCTCGAACCTCTTCGACTCGCCGGGCATCTGCCGCTGGATGTCGTCCGACATGAAGATCGGCTCCAGGTACAGCCAGGACCGCTGAACCATCAACCATTGCTCGAGAAGGTCCTGGACTGAGAGGAGCTTGGCCTCCCAGTCTTTCACCTCCTTCTCGATCGGCTTTACAAAGGGCGACCCACGAATGCCCTGCGTCTTGACGATGTGGTCGTCCAGGAGCGCCTGAATGTCATCGGTGCCCCTGATCACGTAGGTCCCGCTCTCCTTGTACGCGATGACCTCCAGCTCGACGGGCTTCCACTCGCGCTTCATGGTCGCCAAGGCCGCCTTCAGGCTGAACTGCTTCTGCGCCTCGGCGCTGATTCGCTGAACGATCTCGATGCGGTTAAGGATGTTCGCGTTTTGCTAGAAGTGCCCATGGCCCAAAGTGCCCCCAGGATTTCCAGGGAGGCCCCCACGGCCTCCAGAGAACCCCTCACGAGGCCCAGAGGGGCCCCAGGGGCGGCTGCAACATGGAGCACAAAGCTGGGGGCACCTTGGGCCAGGGGCACACTTAGCAACCCCCGAGATATGAGTGTCCAGCAGGCCCTGCAGGGTAAGGCCGTCGTCAATGTCCATGTCCACGTCCAGCTCCTCGAAGAGAGCCGCCAGGTGCATGGCCTGGAAAGCCTCCTGTATGGGGCCCAGGGGGGCACAAATACATCGTTTCTCGTCCCAGGAATCCCTGCTTCTGTCCACTCTGGGAGAGTCTCCTCTTCCCCTCCATTCTCACGAAAAGCGACGGAACGGCGACGGCGACATGGCCACCAGACCGGCAGTCAGGCCCAGACGACGGGCGGCGACGAGGCGGCGACGGCACGGCGACAGCGAGCACGGAGCCGCCAAACTGACCAAACATCCAGACGACGGGCGGCACCCGGGCGGCGACGGGGCGGCGGTTGCGGGCACGGAGCCGTCAGACCGGCAACCCCACCCGGGTCCTTAGAATACAAGTAAGACCCCCTAAGTGCAAGCACTGCATGAGGAATTCGTTTGTCTCCCCCTCCTCCTCCTCCTCCTCCTCCTCCTCCTCCTCCTCCTCCTCTCCTCATCATCATCATCATCATATCATCATCATCATCATCATCATCATCATCATCACATCATCATCATCATCATCATCATCATCATCATCATCATCATCATCATCATCATCATCATCATCATCATCATCATCATCATCATTATCCTCGTCATCATCATCATCATCATCATCATCATCATCATCATCATCATCATCATCATCATCATCATCATCATCATCATCATCATCACACACTTCCTCCGCCTACCCTGTCACGTTGTCCTTTAGCTCCTTCCTGTGATCACGCATCCCGTCGCCATCAACGGCCAAAACCTTCTGGGTCGGCGGAACCGGCCGTTAGGCCTCCACAATACAAGTAAGACCCCCGAAGTGCAAGCACTGCATGAGGAATCGTCCTCCTCCCCATCCATCCCCATGAAAAGCAACGTTTGTTTGTGTTTGTGCCTACGGTGGGGGCATTGGATAAAGAACCATCAGATGAGTAATCCAGGACCTGGAAGCCGGCGGAAATCCAGTCGTGGATTGGCCATGGATATCTCCGCCGCCCTCATCAGAAGGAAGACCCCAGGTTCTGAAGCCTCCTGTGCACATTGCTTAACGAAGGCCCCCACCGTATTCTCCAAGACCTCCGGCTGCCCTGTTTTTGTTTCGATGCGCGGGCCCCGGAGGTCTGGACCACTTCCCTAGGACCAGTTTGTCGTCCTGAGTCGTTTGCTGATCGATCCCAGGGCCTGGCGAGGGCCCCCCGAAGCCGAGAACAGCCAAACCCCGCCAACTCCGCTTTTTGATGGAGCGTCGGATCGCTGGGAGCGAGGGCCCCCACCGTATTTTGCCCTCCGCGAGGGTGGGAACGCCTACTTCCGAACGGTCGCGACGAGCCCGACCTCGTGAAGAGCGGGCTCCCCTCGTCAGAGCACTCTGGGCTTTGCATGGGCTCAGCTCTCCGCGCTGAGCTGAAACAGCCACTCGGCTCTCCGCTCGAACTGGAACAGCAACGGATTGAACCACTATAGTGCACTACCGCGCTCCACCCTGCAGAACCCCGTTCGGCTCGACGCAAGAGCGACCCTGGGTAAGAGTGACCTGTGGTGCGCGGTTTTTGGGGGGCCGCGAGGGGAGCAAACGCAAGCGCGCAAGACGCTTCTATCGCATCGCGTTCGGCGATCGGGGGGCTCCAATGGGCCCGCATCAAAGGTCACTCCGGCGAAGGGCCACTCTTACGTGTACAAGACCCGTCCAAGCACCGACTCATGCCGACGACTACCCGGACGGTTCCCCACTCTCGGAGGCCTGGAAATTGGCACCAACACCAAGACAGAGGGTTGCCTCCACAGGGGGAAGATGATCCTAGATTTTCGGTGTTGGTGGTAATAGCTCGGCCACCTTGGAAGCCAGAATATTACCACCATCACCGAGATCGGGATCTTCTTCCCCCGGTGGAGGCACACCGCCGAAATTGGTGTTGGTGTCAATCTCTAGGCCGGCCACACTCCGCGCTCCTGGCAGACCGCCTGGACGACCGGCATGTTCTTGCGGAAGCTCATGATGTCGTCCCGGAGCTCCTTCGCCACGGCCTGCGGCTTCGGATGCCCCTCGAACGCCTCGCCGCGGGTGCCGTCGGAAGCGACCACACGAGGCCCAGGGTGCCCCGCCTCCTCCTCCTCCTCCTCCTCCTCCTCCTCTCTCTCCTCCTCATCTCCTCCTCCTCCTCCTCCTCCTCCTCCCTCCTCCTCCTCCTCCCTCCTCCTCCTCCTCCTCCCTCCTTCCTCCTCCTCCTCCTCCTCCTCCTCCGCCTCCGCCTCCTCCTCCTCCTCCTCCTCCTCCTCCGCCTCCTCCTCCTCCAGGGAGGCCCCCGCGGCCTCCAAGGAGCACCCCTCACGAGGCCCCGAGGAGCCCCGAGGAGCGAGAAGCTGGGGGGCACCCTTGGCCAGGAGCACCTGTTTTTGCGACCCCCGACCTTGATCGTCTTGTAGCTCTCCCGGAACTGGTCCTCGACCAGCGCCTCTCAGCGGCAGGCCACAGGGGCTCGGAAGGCCTCGGGCCTCCAGAGGCAGTTTCCGGGGCCTTCCCTTTGGTCGGGCGTGTCCTCCTACGGGAGAAGTCTGGACGGAAAAAATAGTCCAAAAATACCCCAAGATTGTCAAACAAATAGTCGACACATCGTCTCCGGACCATTCGACACGCCCGACTCAAGAGCAGTTTCCTGGGCCTTCCCCGAAGACGCGAAAAAGCCTTTTCAGGAGGCCGGAGGTCTTCTGAGAAGCCTCGCCGCCTTCTGAGAAGGCCTACTGTACTCCTTCTCACTTCCTCCCCGCCCCCCCAAGAGGCGACGCCGAGCCTCAATCTCCGCGGCGTCCAGCTTGTTCAGGGGAGTCACGTTTAGAGTCTCCTCCTGGAAGTGCCTGAAGTCGATCGCACTCGTCCACAGCTGGTTGTAGGGCTCGAAGCTCTCGAGCATCACATCAAGCTGAGAGTAGTCAGAGCCCTCCATGTTGAAAAGCTTCTCGCGCTGCGCAAACTTCTGCACCCGCTCCTTGGCGCCCTGAAGGTTCTCCTGGAGCTTGCTGACCCTAGTGGAGACCTTCTGAGCCATCGAGTAGTTGTCCAGCTCCTTGAGCCACAGCAGCTCTTCCTGGTATTTGGCCATGTCCGCATCGAAGTCTTTCCTCTCCTGGTCGAGCTTGTCCATGAACCTGGACTTCTGGGAGTCGAGGCTTCTCTCCGACTCGGCCACGTCGATCTGGATCTGCTGCGGCCAGAAGAAGGCCGTGAACGCTTGCTCGATCACCTTGGGCTCCACCTCGAAGCTAAACTCGGACAGGAGGTCGATCTGCGAGTGTATGTGGCGGGTCGTCTGCATAAGGGGCTTGGTCTTCGCCTCCTTTCGGGAAACCGAAAGATCCGATACCGGTCATCTCCCGGAATGCATAATGACCAGAATCTCGACGCGAACCCAGCCGCGGCTACCAGTGCCTCTGGGGAGGCCCAAGAGGGCGAGAACGAGGCAAGGGTAGCGGTATCGTCACCAGTTCCTCCTCCGATCCTTGATGTTCGCCATGAAATCTTTCAGCTTCGCCAGCTCCTCCTCGTCCTCTGGGCTCGACAGCACCTGCCGCTGCGCGTCCGCCCACTCGTCGAGAACCGCCTCGGACCGCTCCTGGACGCTGGCCGCCACCTGCTTCAGGCAGGCCTCGGCGAGGTGGTAGGCCCGCTGCGACAGCGTCTGGATGGCCTCCTGGCAGCTCACCTCGAACAGCGGGAACCTCTGGGGGAACAGGCAACGGCACAAAGGAAACAAACATCAGGAGCCCGCGCGGAGTCCCTGGGTCGGCGCCAGGGGCGGCGCCCGAGGCGCAGCGCAGAAGCAAGAAAATCCCAAATCCACGCAAAGCTCCAAAAGTTTACGCAGTTGTTCCTCCTCGAACCTCAGGATCGGGGCCGTGAGCTTCTCGATCGCCGTCCCCGCCTGCACGTACCTGAGGGGCAACGTCAGGGGGGCAACAGCGCACGGGGGAAGCATCGTCATGGAAGCGGCGATGCATCGCCGACAGATCGGCGATGGGCCTGGAACCGAATCCGCAGGATCCTGGGTGGGCAATCGGGCCTCTATCCGCGATGAATGGACGATTGCGGGTCGATGCATCCCCCCTCGGCCTGTCCCCATCCCTGGTGGCTTTCGGGTCAAAACTCTGGCCTGCGGCGGCCGCTCGGGACGATCCGGGTACCCCTGGAACGCTCTCGACGAGGCGCAGCTGCTGGTGAGCATCCCGAGGCTCCAAAACCCGCGAGAAGGGACGAACAGGCCCGAAAACCTCCAACCTCGAACCTCGAGAAGCGTGTGGTCGATGCATTGCCCCCTAAGCGCATCCTCCCTGAGCCTTGCCCCTGAGTACCTCGCCGCGCGCTCCCGCACGTCCTCGACCTCCAGGGGATCCAGGAATTCGACCTCCTCCTGCAGGAGGTGGGCGTACTCCTGGCGAGCGACTGGGCAGATGTGCACACCACCACCACCAGCACTGGGATGACGTAAGAAAACTCGGGTGAGGACGGCGCGAGTTGGTTGGCGGCGCGCACAAGGGGGTATGGGAAAGGGTGAAGGTTTCTTGGAAGGAAGCTGTGTCTTAGAAGGCTGCCCCCCTACGTCCATGGACAAGGCCCACGCTTTCTAAGAAACAGGGATGCTTCTAAGAAGCCCTCCCCCTCCCCCTACCCCCCTCTGCGCGAGGCTGAGTTGGCCTGACGGGGCTCTCTGAAAAACGGCGGGGCCCAGTCTGAAATTTCATGCTGGCTTCCACTGCAAGCATTCCGCGAAATCTGGCCGGTCAAATTCATGCTGGGGCCGTTGCAATTTCGAGTCCTGACGAACTCGAGCCTCACGTTTCCCCGACAGCAAGACGAAACCAGGACAGAGACAAAATCGGGCTAGGACCAATCAGGGACCTCTGAGATCTGGCAGTTCTGGAAGATGTCTTGGGCGCCGCGGCCGTTCCAGAGCGCCGTGTCGCTCTGGGGCGCCCCGAGAGCGCTCCGGAACGCTCTGGAACGATCTGTGCTGCTCCCAGCCCCACCCGAAGAACGAACGACCACCAGGCCAGGTCAAGGGCTGGCCTGGACCCGGGGCTCGGCGCGCACGCACGCACTCAGGGCGATGGCCCACGGAACACACGCACCAACCCTGGGCCCGAAGCGGAACCTGAGGTGGCCTGTGCGCAGTGCGGACGCTGCCGCAAGGGGCCCCCACTGCTGGGCCTGTTTTCCACCACCACCACCACCATAAGTTGGAGGGGAGGGGGTCCTCCTCCTCCTCCTCCTCCTCCTCCTCATCCTCCTCCTCCTCCTCCTCGTTTTCGTCCTCCTCCTCCTCCTCTTCCTCCTCCTCCTCCTCCTCATCCTCCACCTCTTTCCCCCTCCAACTTATGGTGGTGGTGGAAAACAGGCCCATCACCCACGGCAAGCTCAGCCCCGCAAGTCCGCAGGCGAAATGCAACTGGGTGGAAACCCAAGAAGCACCCCGAGAGCAGCTCCCAAACGGCCGCGGGGAGCCACCGCGCACAGCGCGAAGCAGAGAAACGGGCAGCCCTGCAGAAAAGCGCCCTCGGAAGGCCAACTGAGACAACGGTGGCTCTGGACTCCGCCCGGCCCAAATCCGCTCCAAATCGGCCCGAGCCCTCGCGGGGTCCATTCTGGCCCAGTTCCCGAGGCGGACTCAGCCGTGGCGACAAGGGGCTGGGAGGCCCGAGGAAGGGCTAACCAAGGGCTCCCAACTTCGCGCTTCGCGCTGCGCGAAGCGCGAAGCGCGAATAACTTCGCGCGCTCGCGCCGCCTCCCAGGGGAGAAGAGGAGGAGGAGGAGGAATGGGAGCCGAACCGAGAAGCGCGAAGCGCGAATAACTTCGCGCCCTCGAGGGCGCCCTTGGCGAAAGGCGCCAGAACGGGCCAGCGCAGTCTCGCCCGGCCCTCCTCTGACATTCGGTCTCTTGCTGCGCGGCCCCACGGTACGTTGACACGCCGTGGACATCGACATCCACCGACATGATTATTCGATCCACGCTCACGGAGGTCTGGACCCCTTCTTGGCGGCGCGCACCCAGGGGTCGTGGGCGGGGGGGAGGCTTCCGAGGAGGAGGCCCGCGCCTTCTACGAAGCAGGGGTGCTTCTCAAAGCCCCCCCAGCCCCTCCAGACCCCCTCTGCGCGCGGCCAATCTTCCAAAGGGGGCCGCATCGCGTCCTGGATCTCTTCCCTCCCTGATGAGTGATTTGCCGGAACTCCGGCAGATTCTGACAGAAGCAATGGTACGTGCTCTTGTTTTTTTATGATACTCTGACATTCATTCCCAGTGGCTGGAACGCTCATAGCTGACACGGCTCTTTAGGGTAGTCCATAAAGCAGGTTCTACGGGGTGCACGCGCGTGCCCGACCCTGGAGAGGAGGCGGGCGCGCGCGCTCTCTCACCTGCGCAGCTCACACAGCCGCAGATCAACATCCATGGCAGCGAGCGGCGGCCAAAGGATGTCCGGCGGCGAGGCGGCGGCGGCGGCGGCGGCGAGATCCGGCTTGCTACATCAGGGGCGACGGCGTAACATGGACGCATGTGATTTTGCGAGCAGCAATCGGAAGGCTCGCAGGCCCCCGATCAAGATATAAGGGCTACGCAATAACAAATCACCCCCATTGGCTGTGCCATGCGCCCGTTGCACCCAAAGTATCCCACAGCAGCTCTTGAGAGCCCCTGAGGGATACGTGTGGGCGCAACGTTATGGCCAACGCCTGAAAAATGGTCTGTTTCACAAATCACCCCCGTTGGCTGTGCCATGCACCCGTTGCGCCTAACGTATACCATAGCAGCTCCCCAGAGCCCCCCAGGGACGGCGAGGTTTCGCTCAGGTCCCTGCGGTGCCTCAGTCCGCTGGACCCACCAGCAGCCCTCGAAAGCGGCGACAGTGTCGCAGATCATAGCCCCCCCAGGGACGGCGAGGTCTCGCTCAGGTCCCCGCGGTGCCTCACTCCGCTGGACCCACCAGCAGCCCTCGAAAGTGGCGACAATGTCGCAGATCGCAGCCCCCCCAGGGACGGCGAGGTCTCGCTCAGGTCCCCGCGGTGCCTCACTCCGCTGGACCCACCAGCAGCCCTCGAAAGTGGCGACAGCTTCGCAGATCGCAGCCCCCCCAGGGACGGCGAGGTCTCGTTCAGGTCCCCACGGTGCCTCACTCCGCTGGACCCACCAGCAGCCCTCGAAAGCGGCGACAATGTCCCAGATCGCAGCCCCCCAGGGACGGCGAGGTCCCGCTCAGGTCCCCGCGGTGCCTCACTCCGCTGGACCCACCAGCAGCCCGCGAAAGTGGCGACAGTGTCACAGATCGCAGCCCCCCAGGGGATGGCGAGGTCCCGCTCAGGTCCCCGCGGTGCCTCACTCCGCTGGACCCACCAGCAGCCCTCGAAAGTGGCGACAGTGTCACAGATCGCAGCCCCCCCAGGGACGGAGAGGCTCAGGTCCCCGCGGTGCCTCACCCCGCTGGACCCAACAGCAGCCCCCGAAAGTGGCGACGGCGTCGCAGATCGCAGCCCCCCCCCAGGGACGGCGAGGTTTCGCTCAGGTCGCGCGGGTGCCTCACGCCGCCGGACCCACCAGCAGCCCCCGAAAGTGGCGACAGTGTCGCAAATCGCAGCCCCCCAGGGACGGCGAGGTCTCGTTGATGTCCCCGCGGTGCTTCAGTCAGCTGGACCCAACAGCAACCCCCGAAAGTGGCGACAGTGTCGCAGATCGCAGCCCCCCCAGGGACGGCGAGGTCTCGTTCAGGTCCCCACGGTGCCTCACTCCGCTGGACCCACCAACAGTCCTCGAAAGTGGCGACACTGTCGCAGATCGCAGCCCCCCAGGGACGGCGAGGTCCCGCTCAGATCCGCGCGGTGCCTCACTCCGAAGGACCCACCAGCAGCCCTCAACAGTGGCGACACTGTCGCAGATCGCAGCTCCCCAGAGACGGCAAGGTCCTGCTCAGGTCCCCGCGGTGCCTCACTCCGCTGGACCCACCGGCAGCCCTCGAAAGTGGCGACAGCGTCGCAGATCGGAGCCCCCCAGGGACGGCGAGGTCCCGCTCAGGTCCCCGCGGTGCCTCATTCCGCTGGACCCACCAGCAGTCCTCGAAAGTGGCGACAGCGTCGCAGATCACAGCCCCCAAGGGACGGCGAGGTCCCGCTCAGGTCCCCGCGGAGCCTCACTCCGCAGGACCCACCAGCAGCCCTCGAAAGTGGCGACAGTTTCGCAGATCGCAGCCCCCCAGGGACGGCGAGGTCCCGCTCAGGTCCCCGCGGTGCCTCACTCCGCAGGACCCACCAGCAGCCCTCGCCCTCGAAAGCGACGACACTGTCGCAGATCACAGCCCCCCGGGGACGGCGAGGTCCCGCTCAGGTCCCCGCGGTGCCTCACCCCGCTGGACCCACCAGCAGCCCTCGAAAGAGGCGACAGCGTCGCAGATCGCAGCCCCCAGGGACGGCGAGGTCTCGCTCAGGTCCCCGCGGTGCCTCACTCCGCTGCACCCACCAGCAGCTCTCGAAAGTGGCGGCAGTGTCACAGATCGCAGCCCCCCAGGGACGGCGAGGTCCCGCTCAGGTCCCCGCGGTGCCTCACTCCGCAGGACCCACCAGCAGCCCTCGCCCTCGAAAGCGACGACACTGTCGCAGATCACAGCCCCCCAGGGACGGCGAGGTCCCGCTCAGGTCCCCGCGGTGCCTCACCCCGCTGGACCCACCAGCAGCCCTCGAAAGTGGCGACAGTGTCGCAGATCGCAGCCCCCAGGGACGGCGAGGTCTCGCTCAGGTCCCCGCGGCGCCTCACTCCGCTGCACCCACCAGCAGCTCTCGAAAGTGGCGGCAGTGTCACAAATCGCAGCCCCTTTGGCAAGATGCACACACAAGAGGCACCGCAGCCGGGACGCGCACGCACAAGACAAGAGGAGACAAGAGGAAAGCGAGAGGCGAGAGGCGGGAGGAGGAAGACTAGAGACCGCAGTGCTGCACCCAAAACGAATACCCAACCAAGGAGGGTTGGGGAAAATACCCGGGGACGTACCCAACCCTTTTGGCAACAGGTGGCATTATCAACTGGCGCTTTCAAAATAGCTGAACATCCGCTGGGCGCCCAAGAGGCCCACGAAAGCGACGACCATGGCATTCTTGGCAACCGCCGCGCTTGAGGGTCAAGCGGTGTACTTCGCTCAACGGAGAATCAGCGCCCAGCGCTCTCGAGGGACAGCGCTGCGCACTGCGCTACAGGACGGCGCCGCGCGACCGATCAGCGAACAGCGCTCTGCGCTCGATCATGGTGCCCACGTACTGCCTGCACCAGGGCCGCGCCTTCTTTACCCCCCTTCCGCGCTTTCCCATGCCACGGAGAAACAGCGCCGCGCGCTCGGGCCACAATGACAGCGCCACGCGCTTCGAGAAGGGGCCGCACCCCGCGCTCGCTTTCGAAATATCAACGCCCCCCCGGGGAATATGTTTGTGGAGCAGCAGTGTGAAGGGAGCGGGGCTGCGAGGATTCGTAGGACTCGTCCTAGACATTGGATCGGTCGAACGAGCTGCGCACTCGGCCAGCGGCTCACTGGAGCTGCTCGAAGAGGCGGAGCTCGCGGGCGCCAATCGCGCGATGGGCGATCTCGGCATACCCGTCGAATGTCACGTCGCCAGCACTCTCTAGACGCCCAGCTCCTTCCCGATCTGGAAGCACCCTGGCAAAACGCACGTGCATGTCCCGCCTGGGCGGTCAGTGACAACTCGGACGGAGCGTCTGGAATCGCAGGCCACTGATAGTGAGGACTGCGCCGTTGCAGATAGCAAACAACGAGTTTTCGTCGTCGTAGGACAAATGTCGAAGCCTCCACGGCCCGCCTTTCGAGGCGATCATCACCACAGCCCCCGGCGGGATTACGCTCGGAGGGGCGGGGGGCAGAGTGGCATTCCTCAGCACCCGGACCGCCCTGCTGGCGCGCAGGGCCGCCGCAACTGCGTCTGCCAGGCAGTGGAACGTCTGCCGCCAGAAGAAGCTCACCACGTGGCGCAACAGGTCGCGCTGCCTGTAGATCCCCTGAGCAGCAGGGGTCTTGCTCAAGGCGAGCAAGCCGAAGTACAGCTCCGAACGCGGCGCGGCCACCTCGAAGGGGAGGACCACGCCCGCGGCAACGGCCGTGAAAGAAGCACGGGCGGGGCGGGGGGGAATTGAAGTAAATGCGCCAAGAGGTCCGATGGACCACTCTGCGCTTGGACCGAATGCAACGCCTCGCCCCATCGGCCCTGCCCTCGACGTCGCTTCACGATCGACGGAGGAACAGCGCCCTGCGCTTGACGACGAAGCAGCGCCCTGCGCTCGACGACGAAGCACGCGCCCGACGTGCTGCCTGCGCCAGGGCCGCGCCCCCCCCTTCTCGCCCCCCCTCCTCATGCGCCGGAGAAACAGCGCCGCGCGCTCGGGCCACAATGACAGCGCCGCGCGCTTCGAGAAGGGGGCCGCGCCTAGCGCTCGCGCTCGAAACGTCGACGCTTCCCAGTGGAATGTCGCAAGTGGCACCCCCAGGAATAGCTGCGAGGTCTAGTCTGGGCGCGCGCGGCACTCTATTCCGCGGCGCCTCCCAGCTGAACCTCCCAGGAGCCCATCCGCTGGGCCTCCCAGTAGCCCTCGAATCAAAGAGAACCGTGCAAAAACACACACACACACACACACACAAACAAAACAAAAAAAAAACTCCAGGAGTCCCCCAGATACCCCAGATGCCTCCCCGCGACCCCCGAGGGCCCAGAACGAAAGCCACGAAGTGTCAGGCGGTCGTGCTCTCCCGCCACCGGGCTGTTGCCGGCAGTCCTGACGCGCGGCGAATTCTTGGCCTCGCGGTTCAAATGGGTCGGCTTCGCGGGGTCGAGTCTTGTGACAGATCGCGGCGCTGGCGTGTAACCCCACTCCGCTGGGCCCAGGAGCCCACGAAAGGACCGACAGTTGCGCAGTTGGCAGCTCCCCCCGCAGGGAGCCGCGAGGTCCCGACGCGATCCGCGTGTAACCCCACTCCGCTGGGCCTCCCAGGAGCCCACGAAAGTGCCGACAATTGCGCAGTTGGCAGCTCCCCCCGCAGAGAGCCGCGAGGTCCCGACGCGATCCGCGTGTAACCCCACTCCGCTGGGCCTCTCAGTAGGGCGGCGAGATCTATACATATCCACTGCTCCCTGGCCAGGCCCAGCCTGAACCCAGCAGCGGTGTATACGCCACGCCCTCCTGGCTTGGCCAGGAGGGCGTATACACAGCTCCTGGGTTCAGGATGGGCCTGGCCAGGGAGCAGTGGATATGTATAGATTTCGTCCCCCGATCTCAGGAGCCCACGAAAGTGCCGACAGTTGCGCAGTTCGCAGCTCCCCCGGCAGGGAGCCGCGAGGTCCCGACGCGATCCGCGTGTAACCCCACTCCGCTGGGCCTCCCAGGAGCCAATTGCGCAGTTGGCAGCTCCCCCCGCAGGGAGCCGCGAGGTCCCGACGCGATCCGCGTGTAACCCCACTCCGCTGGGCCTCCCAGGAGCCCACGAAAGTGCCGACAATTGCGCAGTTGGCAGCTCCCCCCGCAGGGAGCCGCGAGGTCCCGACGCGATCCGCGTGTAACCCCCACTCCGCTGGGCCTCCCAGGAGCCCACGAAAGTGCCGACAATTGCGCAGTTCGCAGCTCCCCCCGCAGGGAGCCGCGAGGTCCCGACGCGATCCGCGTGTAACCCCCACTCCGCTGGGCCTCCCAGGAGCCCACGAAAGTGCCGACAGTTGCGCAGTTGGCAGCTCCCCCCGCTGGGCCTCCCAGGAGCCCACGAAAGTGCCGACAGTTGCGCAAGATCGCAGGAGGCGACAGATGCGCATATCGCAGCCCCCCAGAGGGCGCCGCGAGGAAGAGGTAGGAGGCAGGAGGGAAGTGGGCGGGAGGACGGGGCGACCAGAGTGCTCTATTCAAAACGAGTACCCAACCAAGGGAGGGTGGGGAAAAAAAACACTTGCAGAAAATTACCCTGGCGACGTACCCAACCCCTGCGCAATGCGGGGCATGAGTAGCTTGGGAGACGTTATACGAAGGTGATGACGTGAAATGGGCGCATATACTTCTGCGAGCGGCATTCGTGAGGCTCGCAGACCCCCAAAGGATTGCGATGTCCCGCTCAGATCTGCCTGGTGCTTCGCTCCGCTGGACCCACCAGCAGCCCTCGAAAGTGGCGACAACTTCGCAGATCGCAGCCCCCCAGGGACGGCGAGGTCCCGCTCAGATCCGCGCGGTGCCTCACTTCGCAGGACCCACCAGCAGCCCTCGAAAGTGGCGGCAGCTTCGCAGAGCAGCCCCCCAGGGACGGCGAGGTCCCGCTCAGATCCGCGTGGTGCCTCACTCCGCAGGACCCACCAGCAGCCCTCGAAAGTGGCGACAACTTCGCAGATCGCAGCCCCCCAGGGACGGCGAGGTCCCGCTCAGATCCGCGCGGTGCCTCACTCCGCAGGACCCACCAGCAGCCCTCGAAAGTGGCGACAGTTTCGCAGATCGCAGCCCCCCAGGGACGGCGAGGTCCCGCTCGGATCCGCGCGGTGCCTCACTCCGCAGCCCTCGAAAGTGGCGACAACTTCGCAAATCGCAGCCCCTCAGGGACAGCGAGGTCCCGCTCAGATCTCCGCAGTGCCTCACTCCGCTGGACCCACCAGCAGCCCTCGAAAGTGGCGACAAATTCGCAGATCGCAGCCCCCCAGGGACGGCGAGGTCCCGCTCAGGTCCGCGCGGTGCCTCACTCCGCAGGACCCACCAGCAGCCCTCGAAAGTGGCGACAGTTTCGCAGATCGCAGCCCCCCAGGGACGGCGAGGTCCCGCTCAGATCCGCGCGGTGCCTCACTCCGCAGGACCCACCAGCAGCCCTCGAAAGTGGCGACAGTTTCGCAGATCGCAGCCCCCCAGGGACGGCGAGGTCCCGCTCAGATCCGCGCGGTGCCTCACTCCGCAGGACCCACCAGCAGCCCTCGAAAGTGGCGACAGTTTCGCAGATCGCAGCCCCCCAGGGACGGCGAGGTCCCTCAGGTCCGCGCGGTGCCTCACTCCGCAGGACCCACCAGCAGCCCTCGAAAGTGGCGACAACTTCGCAGATCGCAGCCCCCCAGGGACGGCGAGGTCCCGCTCAGGTCCGCGTGGTGCCTCACTCCACAGGGCCCACCAGCAGCCCTCGCAAGTGGCGACAACTTCGCAGATCGCAGCCCCCCAGGGACGGCGAGGTCCCGCTCAGATCCGCGCGGTGCCTCACTCCGTAGGACCCACCAGCAGCCCTCGAAAGTGGCGACAGTTTCGCAGATCGCAGCCCCCAAGGGACGGCGAGGTCCTGCTCAGGTCCGCGCGGTGCCTCACTCCGCAGGACCCACCAGCAGCCCTCGAAAGTGGCAACAGTTTCGCAGATCGCAGCCCCCCAGGGACGGCGAGGTCACGCTCAGGTCCGCGCGGTGCCTTCCCGCTCAGGTCCGCGCGGTGCCTCACTCCGCAGGACCCACCAGCAGCCCTCGAAAGTGGCGACGGTTTCGCAGATCGCAGCCCCCATCGTCGGCGAAGAGAGGGCAGGAGGAGGCGGGAGGCGGCAGGAGGAGGAGGAGGAGGAGGAGGAGGATGAGGAGGAGGGACGCGACCACAGTGCTCTATTCAAAACGAATGCCCAACCAAGGAGGGTTGGGAATGAAACCGTCGGAGATCTTGGGATCCTGGTACTGCGCCTGCACCTCCTGAACGGCCAGCAGGCAGTGGCGGACGACCTCCTTGAGGGGATATGCCGGGGGGGACCAGCTCAAGAGGGGGACTCTAACGTCGCATCGACCTGGTGCCGGCGGAATATCGCCCGCGGATCGGCGACAGGCTCTCGACGGCGAAGCCCCACGCTCCAGGGTCGGGTGGTCCATCGGAGAGGAGCGGGCGGTTGCGGGCCGACGCATCTCCCCCCCGAGCGCAGTCCCCCCCCCCCCCCTCGGACGCCCCACGCTGCCCCCGAGTCCTCCGTGGCCGCCTTGGCGCGCTCCAGCTGCTGGTCGCCGCCGCGCAGCTCGAAGAGCAGGCCGCCGGGCAGGCTGCAGAAGGGCACGAGCTCGGGCTCCGTGGTGGCCAGTACCTGCCGGGCCCCGTGGCGCCGCGGGAGGGGCTCGGCGAGGAGGAGGAGGAGGAGGAGGAGGAGGAGGAGGAGGAGGAGGAGTATGGAGGAGGAGGAGGAGTATGGAGGAGGAGGAGGAGGAGGAGGAGGAGGAGGAGGAGGAGGAGGAGGAGGAGGAGGAGGAGGCGAGGGGAGCAGCCTGCCCAGGGCAGGCCCAGACCCCCAGACAGGACACAGACAGCCTCCACGACCGCGGCGACCACTGGGACGCAGAGGGGCACGCGCGCGATGGCACGGGCGAAGGTGAGCAGGGGGACGAACAAGGACACAAACACCAAAACTCGGAGGTCCGCGCGGACTTCTCGGATCGGCGCTGGACCCCCCTGGCGGCGCCTCCGGCGCCGCCCCTGGCGCGCTCCGCGAGCCAGGGAGGGGGGGGGGGCCAGCGCGGATGCGAGACATCCGCGCGGACCTCCGAGGTTTTTTTTTGTTCATGCCATTGCTCATTTCCCTTATGTGAGGGGGGGGCGGGGAGCACGTGACCCAGAACCCCTTCGAGCAGGGGATCGACGATAGAATTGTTCTACCCCAAACTTGATTTCCCGTCAATCTACGAACGAATGCGTAGAACGCCCTACGGAGCATTCCACGTATTTTTCGTAGGCTCGGCGAACACATCAATTTTGTGGTAAATGAATTCTGTAGTCGATACCCTACTCGACCCCCTCGCGTCGTGAGAAACTCTGGGGGCGACTTCGACGACCACGGCGGCCGGGGCCACAAAAGAAGTCGCGTGGGGGCCCCGCAGATACTCGAAACCAAATCCATAGGTCGGACTAGGTGGCGGGACCCTACGGGTGAGACCCTTTTTGGACAGGATCTTCACTTCTGCAGCATCTCGTGGGAGCCTTCACTACCACCTTGTCGGTTCTTGCAGATCGACGCACGCCAAAGTCGACGCCAAAGTCGAAGCTGACCGACGCTCATCGGCGCCAAATCTGCGCGATCCTATCGGTTTCCTCGCGCCCTGGTTCAGGGATCGGATCCGATCGGACCAGGCCCCGAGCAGCCCCGAAGAGAGAGAGCCCAGACGCGGGGCGGCCGCAAGTCTCAGACGTCCAGAGCGGCCAGCGGGGCGATCCCCCAGGGGCAGCGTTGGCGGCCGTGCCCAGAGGCTTTGGTGAAGGCAACGCTCTCGGCGAGGCGCAGCCGCTGGAAAGCAGTCCAAGGAGGGAATGCCGCCGAGAACCAACGAAAGCGTCACCGTATCGGATACCGCCCCTGATAAACCACATGGGGCATGTGTGCCCTGCTTGCAAGCCAGGCTGGGCCAAATACAACCCACACTGGCACCCACTGATTGCCCCTCTATCCCCTTAGCAACCACCGCGCCGATCCCAAAATGGGCGACCGAAGCAGGGGGGAACCGAAGCTTCGAGATTCGAGGCGTGAGGTTCTCGGACGCCTACGTTGCTTCTCGGCGGCTTTCCAGCCTCGGGATGCCTTCCATGAAGGGGCCCTGGGACACACAAATAAATACACACAAACAAAAAGATTCCCCACTCCCCCTCCCACTTCCCATATGTTCTAAGTTTCTGTCTTCCCCCCCCACTTCCCATATTTTCCCATATTTTCCTGGGGATCGACGATTAATTGTGTCTGTGGTTTTTCCCCTCCTGATTCCATTGGCAGCGCCTCGCCGGGAGCATCCTGGGGCTTCCCGGAAGGTCCCGAAGGGCCTCCGAGCGGCCTGAAGTATGAGCCGAGAACCACCAGGGGTTAGGAGGCAACTATTGGGAGGTTTTCGTCGGAAAGAGTAAGGAGGATTCAGCCCCATCTGGGACGTACTCCGCCGGAGTGGGCCTCGGATTGCGCGGGACCGCGCCGGAGGAAGCGGGACGGAGCGGGATCACAACGGACGAAGCCGGACTTCGGACCAGTGCCAAACCAGAGTTCGACCTCCCAGGAGCTGCATCCCAGCAGGGGGTGATGGGCCCGTTTTCCACCACCACCACCATAAGTTTGAGGGGGAGGGAGTCCTCCTCCTCCTCCTCCTCCTCCTCCTCCTCCTCCTCCTCCTCCTCCTCCTCCTCCTCCTCCTCCACCTCCTCGTCCTCCTCCTCCTCCTCCTCTCTCCTCCTCCTCCTCCTCCTCCTCCTCCTCCTCCTCCTCCTCCTCCTCCTCCTCCTCCTCCTCATGGTGGTGGTGGTGGAAAACAAGCCCATCAGGGGGGGGAACGTGGAGCCGGAGCCGGCGAGGCGTGCCGCCGAGGGAGCGGGGACGGGCCCCCGAGGGCGCCTCCGCGCACGCTCCCGGGCGAGGCGGGCCGTCGGGGCCCCCACAGCTCGGGGACCACTCGGCGGGGCCGGGCGTGGGGGCGGCCAGCCCGTTACGCTGGAGACATCCTCGCAACTCTAGGCTCCGAGATGTCGTTCGGGATGAAGAGGAGGTGGAGGAGGAGGAGGAGGAGGAGGAGGAGGAGGAGGAGGAGGAGGAGGAGATGGAAGGGAGAAGGTGCCCGAGGGCTTTGGAACCCCGAGCTGGGTGCGGAAGGAGTGGGCACGATATGCCCAGCAGCGGGGGCTGCCCGAACGGGGGCTGCCCGAAGCCGACAGCGGCCGCTGTCGGGCAGGCGACCTTCCGTCTCAAGTCGAGGGCGTCCGCCCGCAGCGACAGCGACAGCGAGTCCTGCCCGGAATGAACCGGAGCTGATGTCGGGCTTCGTCGCCGTTCTTTCCGTCCCCGTTTCCATCCTCCAGAGAGGCGCAAGTGGTCGAGGGCGCTGTTTTCCCGGTTACTGGGATCGGTGCAGGGGTGCGAAGGAGATGGCGGGTTATTAGGTGGATGCCAAGGTGGTATCTATCTGGCCTAATCTAGCCTATGAGTAACAAATGCCTTAAGGGGCTCGGACCGACCATGCGCATGCAGCCAAGTGGCCCCCAAAAACGTAAAACCACATGATAACAAACGAAACTAATAGCAACCTACATGTCACTTCAGTGCATGAAACCATATAGGGGAGAATGAAACCATATGAAACTACAAAAAATTGTGGCCCTGCGAGAGATCAGCGTCGTCATCGTCGCCGACGTCATCGTCGCCGTCAGCGTCGTGCCACCGTCGTCGGGATCGTCGTCGTCGCCGTCGCCGTCGGCGTCGCCGTCGTCGCCGTCGCTGCCGTCGCTGTCGGCGGCGCCGTAACCACCGCTGCCGTCGCCGCCGTCGTTGTCGCCGTCGCCTTCGCCGTCGTCGCCGCCGCCGTCGATCGCCGTCCCCGTCATCGTCGCCGCCGCCGTTGCTGTCGCCTGTGTCGTCCCCGCAGTCGGCGTCGCCGTCGCCGCCGGCGTCCTCGCCGTCCGCGTCGTTGCTGCTGCCGTCGTCGGCGTCACCGCCGTCGTCGTAGTCGGAAAAGGGCGCCGTCGCCTCCCTCGCCGCAGCCGCCGCCGCCGAGGCGCGGCGAGGGGGGGTCTCCAGGGCCGCAAGGGGGGGCGAGGGGCAAGAGGAGGAAGAGGGGATGGGGCCCCTCCCCGGGGTGGCGGAGGAGGCCTCTCCAGGGGACTCCAGGGGACCTCCTCGAGCCTCCTGGGGCCTCACTGGGACCTCGTGGGCCCCAACGGGGCCCCAAGAGGACTCCGGAGGTCCCCAGAAGAGGCCCCGAGAGGTCCCACGCGGCCCCGGCACGCCCCTGGAGGCCCTGAGTGGTCCCAGGAAGCCCTTGAAGGCTCCAGGAAGCCCCAGAAAGCCCAGGAGGTCCCATGCGGCCCCAAGAATCCCCACGACGTTCCAAGAGACACCAGGAGGTCGGTCCCGGGAGGTCCCAGGAGGTCCCAGGGTCCCCAGGAGCCCCCCGGGCAGCGCCCCTTCTTCCTCCGCCGCCCCGAGGAAGGGCCCCATCCCATCTTCCTCCTCTTCCCCATCGCTCTCCTCCCGCCCTGGAGACCCCTTACTCGCCGCGTCTCGACGGCGGCGGCTACGGCGAGGGAGGGGTCTCAAGGACGGGAGGAGGGAGAGGGGGTGGTGGCGACGACGACGACGACGACGACGACGACGACGACGACGACGACGACGACGACGACGACGACGACGACGACGACGACGACTGCGTGGGCGGCAGGAGCGATGACGGCGACGACAACGACGACGGCGACGCCGACGCCGACCGACGGCCGCGACGACGACGGCGCCAAAGACGGCGGCGACGGGAGCGGTGGCGACGTCGCCGCTGGCAACGACGGCGGCAACGCGCCTCGACAGCGACTGCGGCGACGATGTGGGGAAGACGCCAGCGATAGCAATGACGACGGCGACGGCGATGACGACGGGGACGGTGACTGACGGCGACGACGGCGGCGAAGACGACGGCGGTGACGGCGGGGACGGCGACCGACGGCGGCGGCGACGACGACGACGACGGCGACGGCGACGACGAAGACGGCGACGACGAAGACGGCGGCGACGGCAGCGGTGGTGACGGCGCCGCCGACAGCGACGGCGGCGGCGGCAGTGACCGCGACGAAGACGACGACGACGTCGACGACGACGGCAATGATGCCGAAGGCGACGATGACGACAGCGACGATGACGACGCTAGTCTCTCGCGGGGCAATCGTTTATTGTCGTTTCTTGTGGTGTCATTCTTCCTTTATAATTTCACACAAGTAATAGTTCATTGTATGTAATGTTGCTTCGCGTGGTTTCATGTTGGGAAGTTTTATTTCTGGTGTATGAAAACATACTAAAACATCGTCGATCTGGGCCCCTGACACATGCCCCAGGTGTCTTCAGGAGAGGTAGATAACTCCGCTAAGTGTGCGGAACCCACTTAGCCCAAATCGTGAACCCCCGTTGTGACCACCCTACAAGCTAGGCTAGGACAGATCTACCTTGGCATCCACTGATAACTCCCTATCCCCTTAGCAACCCCAGCACCGATCCCAATAAGCATGGGGGCTTCTGAGAAGCATCCACAACTTCTTGGAATTGGGGTCTAGCGCCGATCCAGGAAATCCGCGCGTCCCTCCAAAAGCTCATGTTTGTGCAGGATTGCCTTGTCGATTCCGAGAGATCTTGTTAGAGGGGCAGGCAATTCTGGAGCTGGACCTGGATCCAGAAAAAGAACGGCGACGGAACTGAGAAAAACGGCGCCCAATTCGGCAAAACAAAACTGCGTAACGAAAGCGGTAAAAAAACTGCCCTGTCGTCCCCAGGGCCCACTCAGGGCAGGAAATATTTTGAGAAGCCTCTTAACTTCTCAAAACGCCGCCCCCCACCCCACCCTCCGCGACACCCCCTTCTGTCACACCGCCGAGGTACGTCGGTCACCTTCGTGACGTCGTCTATCAGTTCCAGCAACTTCGCGATTAGCTCGCTGGGGGCTGGCAACACTACGACCTCATCCGACGTGGCAGTGAGCCGTATTCTCAGCAGCGGGACTGGCAGCGTTTGCGAGGGGTTCGGCACGAAGCTGCGCACAAAATCGACCCACTCCTCGAGCGACCGGCTGATGAACTCCCGCATCTGAGAACTGAGGATCAGGTCGAACTTCCTCAGTATGCGATGCAGGGGCATCCTGGAGACCGCCCAAATGGCGGCTAAGGATCGGTAGATCGCACCGGATCGCCGATGCATCGCCGATACATCCGCGATGCATCCGCGACATCGGCGTTGAGAAAATCAGGCTTCACATCGAGCCGCGTCGCCGATACATCGGCGATGCGGCGCCGTCCGCCGACCTCGTCCACTTCGACCACATTTGAGCGGCCTGGACATCCTCAGGTGTTTCTGGGAGTTGTCGACAAAGAAGTTGCTGCCCTCGGCCATCTTGTCGAGGACCTCCGAGACGATGTAGTCGCGCCAGTGCCTCTCGAGAGTGACGGCCACGTCCCGGCGATAGTCCTCCATGTGCCGGAAGAAGCTGTCCGGCTCGAAGACCGTGGCGTCTGGATCTGGCACCGTGCCTAGATGAGGAACAAATTCGGGGATGGACAGAACCCCCTTTAGCAAAACGTGGTTTAGTGAAAACGACCTGAGACCCAAACCTGGCGGGCGCAAGCCTGGAAAATAACGGCCACGGCGCCCTCTCGAGAGCCGAAAACGGACAATTCACTAATCGACGTGTCACTGTTGGGGGTTCTGTCCGCCCCCGACAAATAGCTGCACCGGCATGCACTCTCGGAGCTCCGCGCGGGACTCCCTGCCTCGGCGCCGACGCCCCTCGCTGGCGCGCGAGGGCGCGCCGAGGGGGCGGTGCTGAGGGCGCCGCGCAAGGGGCCCAGCGCCGATGCAGGAAGTCCGAGCCGGCCTCCAGGAGTTCTGGCGGCGCGCAGAGGGGGGTAGGGGGAGGGAAGAGGCTTCTTAGAAGGAGGTGGCTTCTTCGGAGGGCGCGGGCCTCACATTTAGAAGCAGAGGCCGCGCCTTCTAAGCAGCAGCCTCCTGCCAAGAGGCCTTCCCCCCTCCCCCTGCCCCTGCCCCCCTCTGCGCGCGGCCGAGAGCTCCTGCTCGTGCAGCGTTTCCCCCCCCCCCGAGCGCCGCGGAGCAGGCGGGGGGTCGACGCCCTCGCCCCCGCGCGGCCGCAGCGCGTCGTGTCCAGCACCCGGTGCCTGCTCACCTCGTCCAGGAAACGCGTCCACACGCTCAGCGTCACCGAGGTGAAGACCGTGGACAGCGTGGGCAGCCGCGAGAAGTGGTCGACGAGCGAGGGGACGGGGAGCTCCGCCTCCTCTCGGGGATCCCCTCCTCCTCCTACTCCTCCTCCTCCTCCTCCTCCCTCCCTCCCTCCCTCCCCTCCCCTCTCCTCCCCTCCCCTCCCCTCCCCTCCCCTCCCCACTCCTCCTCCTCCTCCTCCCTCCCTCCCTCCTCCTCCCTCCCCCTCCCCCTCCCCTCCCCTCCCCTCCCTCCCCTCCCCCCCCCCTCCCCCTCCCCCCCCTCCCCCTCCCCCCTCCCCCCCCCTCCCCCTCCCCCCCTCCTCCCCTCCTCCTCCTCC